AAGGCTGCTGACTGACCAGACAACGGCAACGACAACGGGACGCGATGCGATGCGACGCGACTGCACGTGACTGCATGCCACACATGCCACTTGCCACTTGCCACACACATGCCCCACCCCATGCAGGACATGTAAAGCGCATTTCATCGCTAATTTAAGTTAATGGTCATTGTTGTAAATTACATTAATTTTAATGCGATTTCGCACACACGCATGCCCCGGAAGTGCTCCCAATCCGCCAACCAGCTCCCCTCCCCTCTCCTCACCCCCTGTAAGCGGACTGCCCTACGCCGTGAACTTGCCGGCACGGAAAGCCTTTTAAGTGTGTGATTGTTTGGCCATTGCGCTTTTATGCAATTACCGCACTAACAAATTACATCAAGTGTCACAAATGAATGCATTTATGATGTGCATTTTAACAGCAGTCGAGGAGAGTCGCCATCCAGCGACAGGCAACAGGGCGCACAGTTAGTGGCGGGGAATGCCAGCAAAAATTGCAGAGCCAAGTGGCTCTGTTAAGTATGCTAAAGTGCTCTCGGCACACATGTGTGTGTGTCTCCGTGTGTGTGCAATTAAAATGCATTTTGCACCGCGAAAAAGGATTAAATCCTTACATAAAATGCATGCAAAATGCGACACCATTGCCACCTAATGCACTCAACTCAGCCTTGTTGATCAACATCCACTCTAGCATATTTAACCATCACTTTCAGCCTTTGCTTTGCTTATAATTTCCGAAGTAAATCCTCCTTTGGTTGCTGGGTAGGAGACGCACGGGAAATGCATATTTGATGTGCCACCGAGGCAACATCTTCTACGTTTTGCCATCGTTGGTGCCTTGGCATTTGTGGCATTTTTTGTGACACAAAAGCAAACACAAGTGCGGCAGAGCACTGAGGCCGCCAGTCACGTAAACACAAACGAAGCACAGTTCTGGGAACACTCACGAAATGTGTTCAACTTCATTTGAATAAAGTGTAGCAGCAGCAGCAGCAGCAGCAGCAGCGGCTCAAAATGTCAGGTGCAAAATGGTCAGCCGCAACAACAGCCGCCGCCGCGGCGTATACGCAATGCAGGGTTGGGGCTGGAAAAACAAAACAGTAAAGGTAAACAATGCGTCCAATGGCATGCCCCACACTTGGCCTGCCGAGGGGAAGGCAGAGGCGGAGGCGGAGCCCCGAACTGAGCGACTGATTGAACAGCAAACATGTCGCTGCCTGCAATATCGGCCTCGGTCTGGGCCTCAGACCCCCCGCCCATCAGCTACCTACTGCACATGTAAAACACATGTTGCCCCTTTATTTCTTTCGCCCCGTATGTCGGTTAGTAGCCAGCCCCCACCTCATGTCCAGGTTGTAGCCAATTTTAAGCAAATATTATTGTTTGCATTTATGTTTGTGTCTGATATGGAACGGGCGATAATACACTGGAATGCGTAAGCGTGTGCAGCACTGTGCCACAAGGGAAACCTTATCCATAATTACCGATTATTAGAAACATTCAATTTAAACGTTAATCGAAAAGGGGCGAGAGATCTCTGGTGAAAATGTGTAAAACTGTCAATTTTAAATGTATATTTATTAGAGTGAAAATTGGACTTCGAATTGCGACAAACTCGTTGCATGTGGCACAGTGTAAAGTCTAGTTACAGGTGTACATAGACTCGCAGTTATGGTGGTGCGTGTGTTGCCGATGTTGTTCTGGGTTCTGGTTCTTATTATTGCAACTATTGCTGCTGCTGCTGCTGCTGCTGTGTTACTTGGGGCGTGGCATGTAGCACACAGCCTGTAAACACAACCACAAATTAAAATGTGTTTGCTTATGCAATATGCAGTGCAAACTGTAACCGAACGAACGGTAAACTACCTCTTGCCAGAGAGAGAGAGAGAGAGAGAGAGAGAGCGAGCGAGTGCCGCTGCTGCCGTGTGCCCTCGCAGTGGCATAAATTAAAAGTTTTGCAACATTTTCTTTTTTTTGAGCAGCACGGAGCCAAAGTTTGCCGAGCCGAAAGCTAATTATGCATAAAGCCGTGAACCACACAGCACGGGCTGTATTTACCTTATGGTCTGCTGCTGCTGCTGCTGCTGCTGCTGCTGATCCTGAGAACGGCATCCTGGCAGCGGGATATTATGACAGCTGCCCTGCCACGGCAACACAGGTTGGCTGACTGACGGACTGACAACCTGCGGTGGGTGCAAAGCGGAAATTAAACGCCTCGAACGCGGACGAGCCTCGAAGGCCAACAAATTGGTTTTCGACAGCCTAAAACTAGCAGCCAGAAAGCACCGCCTGTTACATCGATTAACAAGATATTTTCCAACCAGAAAGACATATCAACAGCGAGCTGTGAGTGGTGCTTCGATCAACAAATAAATGCGATAAAGTGGAGCTAACAACAAGGGCCCGGAGAGTGATCATGCAACAATTGACTGAAGGAAGAACCTTATAGGCGTAGCTTAAAAACAGGCTCCTCATCGTTCGCCATCAATCTGCAAGAGTGTTGGCTCATCACATTTCGCACTAGTAGCGAGTGACCAAAGGAGTAGCCCCAGGGTCCCGTGTTCCCTCTGTTACTCGCTGATTTATGTGACACACATTAGGAGGATCGGATCTCCTGTTTGTCCCTGCGCAAATTAAAAGCGTTCAGGGCTAACTACAACATATGAGCGGATTTTATTACATTTTGAAATTAACAATTTCAGTTGCCCGAGGCTCAAAAATGGCGCACAAATTGCGCTGGAAAAACGGGGCGCGCATAAATTAATCGAGGCCAGGTCTAGGCAGAGAGCTCTGACTCGTACGCGTACTCTGACTAGCGAAATTAAAACATTAATCTGCCGAGCACAATAATTAATGCTGGCTTTAAATTTATTAATTTATTTATAAAGCCAAAAAGGGCAACGCCAGACAAAAACGAGGTGCGAGTTCGAGTTCGAGTCTGAGAGATGGCAATGGAAACAGAAGTAAAAACTAAAGAGAAAAATCTCCAAAGATGCACTGGGATGAGGCAGCGTCTTCCAGCTGTACTCCGCTGATCTGTGGGCACTTTTTAAAAAAATGTCAGTACGCCCTCTAGGGACAGATTAGCGATTAATCTATGGGGCATGGTCGGTCACATGCAACTCCCTCGGACACCGCCACAGCTCGTGGGACGAGGCAACCGATTAAAAAATCTCCACATAAAGGACTGAGCACTTAATCAAAGAGGATTTAGAGAGAAGGCAACCAAGAGACAGGGCCAGAACCAGGGGCCAAAAGCGTTGACGCGGCGCTTTGTTTCTAGCCGCATACCCTGGAAACAAACCCGACAGACAGGTAGTTCCGCAGGTAGTTGAAGATGTTTTGTACCTGTCTTGGGGGTAGTAGATCGTCGGACTATTCGATTTTGTTTCAGTTGAAAGCAAACCGTTTGACGGGTGTGACGTATCAGTGCTCAAAGGATATTCAGAGTAAGTAATTATATACCCAGGGTAAGTTCTAGTCGTGTACCGCCAGCTAGACATGTTCTTACTTGGACTTTAACTACATATTACAAGCATTTTTATTTCGCTAAGCGTTGCTCATAGTTTTTGGTGCGCTTTTTCATTTCCACTCCTGGCTGCTCCCCCTCTTCTTCGGTCTGTGCCACATAACCGACCTTAAATAGTGGCAAAGACATTTCACAGACGCTGCCGCTCTTGGCCGCTCTGCCGCTCTGCCGCTCTGCCGCTCTTGGCCTTTGCTGCATTTGTCAATTTACTACGAGTTGAAAGGGGCGTGGCCGCGCATAAAAGTGAAATATGTGAGCGCTGAGTTGGCAATTTTCGTATGAATTGGCCAAGCTGCGAGCTGCTGTGGCTGCTGTTCGCTTTATGAATTTCTTTATGGCCAAACCTATAAAATATTGTGATTGTGCAGCAGGGAGGAGCATGTGGAGAGGCAAACCCAAGAGCGGTTGAAATTAAATGCTCGTTGCTTGATTTGTTTTGGCCCTCCCCACTGCCAAAGTGGATATTCAATGCCACAGACACAGCTACAAAACTGGCTTCCACTTGCACTCGAGCCACAACATCCACTCTGCTGGACGGTGGCCCGCAATTACAGCAGAAAAACCCCGCAAAAGCTGTCCCAAAACATTTTTTGGCATTGCAGCACATTTTTGGGCATTTTGAACTGTAATCCTTTTGTGTGTTAATTGGAGCATGCTAGAACCGTAAATACCCCACTCGACCTAGCCCAACGTTCGGGAGTGGCACTGAAATCGGCTTAGGCCTGCCACTTGTCAGAGTGAATATTAAAATGTGCATTTTAAATGCACCAATTTGGAGGGATTTACTTGTCATGGCTCTGGTGCTATTTGGCTCTATTTCACAGCAAAAATCTCTTCGCTGGTTTCCGCCAAAAGCCATGGGGACTTATCGAAGGTTGTGATTCCATAGAGAGATGGGAAGAGCTGCACATCAGTGGCTAGTAACCATGGCAGTAGAGTTCAAACTGATTAGAGCTAGTCTTTAGTTTGGGACATTCCCAAGAAGACTATTCATAGTTCCTGGTTCAAATTATTCACATCTCCGCCTTGCTTTGTTTTTGTTTTGTCCCGCATCGAGACGAATGTTTATCCACGCATCAGCCAAACGCGTGTTCCCATGATGAACGACTGCTGGTCAGTCGTGTGCTTAGGTGTTAGGTGTGGGACTGATTCTAGTGGCTGTGCCGTGCTCGAACGTCGATACTTGTTTGTGTGCCGCCATTGTTTACCCAAATGATCGTGACAGTAGCTGCGAGAATAGCCAAAAATAAATACTCAACAGAGATGTATCTATCCGATAAGATAATAGCCCTCAGCAGTGTAGCTTTACACAGCTTCATCTACGCGCATCTATGTGTGAATCGGGGAATCTGTTGTGGCTACTCGCAACTTAGCGATTATCACTTTTTGCCTGCCTTATCAGGCAAGACTAAAGTACATTTGACGAGTAGTAGCTTTAGTAGCTGCTGCTCCACTCATTGATTGTGAGGCTCTGAGGCTGTCCAGACGTAGCTCCGTGCCAGAACAAATCTTTGGCGGCCAGCCCCCAAGCAACAAACGAAGGGGAACAGCAGACAGACTCCACAGATCGAAGTGAGTATTTATATTGCTTGCAGCTGGATCTTTTTATTCGATTTTTTTGTGTACATTTTTTGGCTGCATTCGATCATGTTGCGATCACATTATAATGCAGAGAGCGTTCATTGATTGGCCATCCAATTTGCATATATAATTTATTTGCAATTGTTGTGACATTTTGCCAGACAGTCAGCCAGCTGATGATTGCGCAAAGAGAGACTTCCCTCTCTCTGGTGGCCAGACAGGTTGCCGTTGCCGTGGGAACTTGTTGTGTCGATCTCGCGACAAATCTCAGTCTTTAAACTCTCTTCTTTCTCTCTCTCTCTCTCTTTCTGTGTGCCTGTCTCTCTGTGCAACTTTCACTGGCTGTGACTCAGTGTTTCCTTAATTAAGCCATCGAAATGGTTAACTGGGACTCTGGGCTGCGATGCCGCTATCTGCCAGCAGACAATGGCTTAATCTGCCAGCTAGATCCGAGTATCTGCCCTGGTCCCGGGGCGCACCTTCCACCAATTAATGAAGCAACCGACTTCATTTACCTACTTAAAGAGTAAAAGTTTGGCCTGGCCTTTTGCTGACAATTGGCAATGGAGCTGGAGCTGGAGCTGGAGCTGTAGCTGAAGACGAGGCAGAGATTACTCCTATTTTCTAAATGCCACTTGGCTGCTCTCCTCTTTGCCGCTCTGTTCCTTCCACTTGTCACTGGGTTTGGAGGCTGCTGCTGCTGCCCCAGTGATCCGCTTCTCTGGTGCTCCAGTGGAGTCGAGTGCTCCAAGCCATTCGCTCGCTCTTGGCAAACCGGTTAAGCTGTTAAGCGGTTACCAGCCATCCGATCCGATCTCGCCATCTACTGGGGGGCACCCAGTAATATTTTCACGCCAGTCTGCGGTCCACGTCCAGCAACGCTCGATATGTCCAATTTGTGCTAGAGAGCCGGACAAATATTTGAGAAAGTCTGCCCTGCCTCCAACGACAAACCAACTCTCCCCACTGGTTCGAGTTAGTTGCCAACGTGGCTTGTTGGCCTACACAGTCAGAAAACGAATCAAATTTCCTAAATCAAAACTTATTTTTGTTTTCCTCAGCGACACTTCTTCCACGATGGCGAAGGAACCCAAGGAGCCGCCGCCACCAGCAGCAGCTGCGCAGCCAAAACCAAAATATGAGCTGCGTCCGGTGGAGAAGGTGAAGGATCCGATCATCTCACAGATCGGTGACTTTCGTCGCTACCAGCTCTTCTTTTTCTTAATCGTCGTGCTATGCAAATTCGGCACTGGGTGGCACACCCTCGCCCACATATTCCTGGCCGCCCCCACGCCCCTCAAGTGCCTCACGCCCAATGTGACGGACGCGTGCAGCAAGGACTGCAAGCAGACAGAGTTCAACACGACAGTCTTCAAGACGACCATTATCACGCAGTGGGATCTCATCTGTGACAGGCAATCGCTGGCCAGCCTCTCCCAGTCCATCGTCATGCTGGGCATCATGGTCGGTGGCATGTCCTTTGGCATGATTGCAGATCGGTGAGTAGTCCCAAAGGGGAATCCCTGATCGTTTTGCTAATCTAATCTCTCCTTGGTTTACAGATGGGGCAGACGTCCGGCGTTTCTTTTGTGCTGCTTTATGCAGCTGTTCACCGGATTAATTGTCTGCGCTTCGCCGTTCTTTTGGTTCTACTGCTTGTTCCGGTTTCTGGTGGCCGTCGCCACCGGCGGCACCATGACTGTCAGGTGGGTTTTTGGACCTCGCTTAAAGCTTCTCTAGCCTCAGCCTTTACCCGCTTTAGCTTTGTGCTGCTCATGGAGATAATTGGACCCAAGAAGCGGGAGCTCATTGGCATCCTCTACCAGATTCCGTTCAACATTGGCCACGCCTCGCTCTCGCTGTTCGCCTTCTACATCCGGGAATGGCGCTGGTTCCAGTTCAGCGTGACGATCTTCTCGGTGGTCTTTGTGATCTACATCTGGCTGGTGCCGGAGTCACCGCGCTGGCTCTTCACCACGGGTCGCGTGGACAAGAGCGTCAAGGTGCTGGAGCGTATTGCCCGGCACAATCGAGCTCCCACCGACACCATCAGGCCGGAAATAGAGGCCGCCCACCAGGTGCTGGCCAGTCGCCAGCCAACGAAGAAGGGCAACGTAATCGATCTCTTCCGCACCCCGTACATGCGACTGAAGACCATTTGCATGGCCAACGACTGGCTGGTCGTCTGCATGGTGTACTACGGCACGGCCCAGTACATTGCCAAGCTGGGCGGAGACATCTTCCTCAACGTGCTGATCGCCGCTCTGCTGGGCATACCCGGCACCCTGCTCTGCGTTGTGCTGACCAAGTACTTGGGCCGCAAGATGACCATGATGCTGTCCAACGGACTGAGTGCCTGCGGGCTGCTGCTGCTCGTCTTCCTGCACAAGTCCAAGCAGATTGTGCAGGTTATGTGCGCCACTTTGGGCCTGTTTGGGGCATCCATTACCTTCCCGAATGTCTACCTGTATGGCGCTGAGCTCTTCCCCACTGTGGTGCGATCGAACGGCATGGGCCTGTGCTCGATGGTGGGCCGCATTGGCGGCCTCGTGGCACCCATGATCTGCGAGTTGGATGTCTATGGCGCTTGGATTACGCCGCTCGTCTTTGGTGTCTTCTCCGTGCTGGCCATGCTGGGCACAATCTTCTTGCCGGAGACGCGTGGCACGCCGCTGCCGGAGACACTGGAGGATGGCGAATCCTTTGGCCGCAAGTCGCCCAAGGAACAGTCCTAGTTCCCTGCCATTCTCTCAGTGCAAACAAACGAACAAATCTCAACCCCAAATATCCGTCTGGACTAACTTGCGCCATTAACCGCGCTCAAAAATTAATAAATTTCATTTGAATTAAAGATTTGTGCAGTTTGATATGTCAGTCAGAGTTAAGTGCAGTCCCAAGACCCAGTCCCAGTCCCAGTCGCAGTTCCCAGTTCCCCAATCCCCAGTCACAGAGCCAGAGCCAGAGACACCTCCAAGCCTGCTTTCGTGCTTTGCAGAAACAGCAACAAAAAAATTGAAAAATCTAGCAAAATGCAAAAGGTAATTACCGTAAAATAACTTCCATTTCGTGATTATTAAAACTGGGTTAGCAGCCCGAATTCGGGGTACTCCATGACACTGCCAACTGCCAACTAGCGACTGGCGACTGGCGACTGGTTAATGCGATCTCCACTGCAGCTGACTGGCGTTTCCCTCTTTTATTTGTAATGCCGTGGCTGCAATGGCAATTTTCGGCAATGACGGCAAAACGGTAATGGCAGCTAAATGGGAACTTTGCATGTGAGAATCCATCGATAACTCCCAGCCAAAACTTTCCTGAATTTCAACTCTAAATAAACCTTCATTGCAAGTCGCCTGGAATGTCATTCGATGCCGTTCCATTAGGTCACTTCTGCGCTGCTGTCCATAACAATTATCGGGCAGCATCTCATCACACCATCTACAACTGCCTGAAGCTCTGGAGCTGACCTTGACAGGACGGAGCGAGCGAGAAAACCGGCTGAGAAATGGCTGAAAAAAGCCACTCAAGGTTAATATTCATTGTCAACATTGGGCACGCCTCATTTATATGCAACACTCGCGGTCAGTTTGCCTGTCCACTGACTCCCAGTCAAATGTCAGGCCAGACCAGAGTCGCCACTCGACCAGTCGGACACTTGGCTACAAGCAGCGGCACTCATCCTTCGATGTACCATCGCCACTCAGCCTGAAGCTGCACTGGCTGTGGCCGTGGCTGTTGCAGTTGCAGCTCAGTGAAGCCGGCGGCTCACTCAATCAGATTCGGACTCTGGACTCTGACACGGACTACGACTCGGAGTCGGACTCCAAATCGGCTGCGGACTGGGGCGGGTTTTTAGCGTCTTCAGCGCTTGGCAGCTTGTCATGTCAGACGAACGAAAACTGTCAGAATTCGAGGAGTTGCCCCGTCTACCCCGCAGTCGCCAGCCCTGCCCGACGACTGGCGCTGCCGGCGTCGCATACTTAATCAGCGGCGGCGCGTCTTAGTGATAATTACCAGACATTTTTGCAGCTCAACGATGCCGCTGCCCCTCCTGTGGATGTTGGCTGTTCGCTGTTGTTTAATGAATTACAAGTGCCGCGCTTCGATGTTGTGCCCTGCTCCTGCTCATGATCCTCCTCCTGCACAGCCCAAACAATTTGTAGAGACGCACCATACAAATAAATCGTTTCAGCATCAAAAATGCGAAAGGCTGCGACACCGATGCTGACAGGAACAGTGCCCCAACACTGACTGCTTTCTCCTGTTGCTCCTTTGCTGCTCGTGGCACATTAATTAGCCAGCAGCACAAACTAAGAGAGCGAAAGTGTCCGTCTGTCACAGCTGATAATTAGCAATTTTACTTATGACCAAATGGTTATGTCAGGCAGCCATGGAGCTGCTTTGAGGATTAGCCAAAAGCAAAAGCTGACACTTGGACTGAGTGGCAAAAGGAAGACTCAAACAGCAACAGGCCCCGTTTAGGTTCAAAAGCAGCCAACCGACAAGAGACCCGTCTCTGGCTCTGGCTGGGCGATCATTATCTAAGCCGCATATCCATTTGCGATTACCGAGGAGCAGCCTGAGCAGCAGCTGGATGGGGCATGGGGATGAGGCTGAATCGTGGGAGTCTCTCTGGAGCTGTGAGTCTCCGACCACAGACTCTTGGGGTTTTGCGGCGGCGGCAGACGTGGGCGCATAAAAACAGACAAATGTCAAAATGACGCGCTTTGTTGTTTATCATTTTTACCGCAAGCGGCAAGAGATTGGCGGGGCTATGAAGCCAGCAGCAAAATGCAATTAGTATTCAAATGTAGACGCGCCAACGAGCACGATGCCATAACGAGTCATCATCAGCTGTGGAACTTCTACTTGGACAACGACACTGGGCACTCGACTGGCTGACTCTGTGAGGCCGCCAAAAGAGAGGCCGCCTCTTTACATTGCTGAAAAATGTCTAGGCTTTTGAGGCTCAGAATTCGCCGTAATTTAGCGCACGCATTTTGCATTTTAAGTATGTCGCGATGAGGCTATGTCTCCCCAGGTCCCCACTTCTGATTAATTCCTTAGCTCTGGCTCGGGCTCTGGCTCGGGCTCGGGCGCTACAAATTCGATTGACTAATTGCGGCTTAAGGTGGGGCCTGGCCGTTGAGGATTCCCTGGAACACCTTATCGGCCCGCAATTAAACGTGCCTTGCCGTGCCGTCCAGAAAAACGATTTAATGTATGATTTCTTTCAAATCAAATCTACGTGACGCTCTGACTCAACCTTATCAGCATGACCAGGCCGCGACTTCATCTGGATTGCCATCTCTTGCACCCTGCCCCTGTCCCAACTGGAGCTGCAAACTCATTAATGAGAGAAACCCCGGGCGGCCGGCCTCTCAGATGATTCAATATGGCTGCAAGTTGCATATTAAGCAGCTAGGAGCTAGCCCCGTCATCGAATATGGTTGCCACAGGCAAAGAGCCCAGGCACCAGCCACAGCCCCGCATCCATGCCAACATTTTCTGTTATATAACCATAAAAAACAACAACAAAAAGAAAGAAAAAAAGGAAAAAGGAGAAGAAAAACATTACAAAAAGCAACACAAAATGTGTCGTGGGCGCTATCAAGCGGCTCCACGGACAGATCCAAACAGTTGTAAAATTAACAACCGAGTTATGACAACTGCCAGCAATTAAAATTGACAATTGATATGACAGACGGGCGGGCTGGGCGGCCTGGGCTGGCTGAATGGCAAGGAGAGAGCGACGTGAATGACTATTTACAATAAAAACGCATTGAATCGTCGGGTATTGGATGACTGCGTGACTGACTGACTGTCCAGGGGAGTGGTTCGTTTTGTGTAGGCGCAGTCTGTGCGATCCATTACAGGATGTTTAAAATGCAACAAAGCGAAATCATGCATCTGCACTCAAATAGGTTCGAATAGGTTCGTAAAAATTGTGATTTACTAAGATAAATTACGACAATAATAAAGTAGATACCTGATTAAAACTAAAACATCCAGCCAACAATTATTAACATGGTTATTTTTAGTAGTTTTGCACTGAACGATAGCGAGAGTTGGTGTCAGGGTCTCAGCTCTGCTAAACATGGCGCTGTTAGCTACACTGGAGAATTTATTATTTCTCTGTTAGTTGGCGCTCTTGCTGGCTAGCTGCTGCATTAACATCAGCAATTAACAGCATTCAATCTCTGTTAGCTCGCGCTCATGTGATCTCTCACTGTTAGTCACGCAGTTCGATTAACAGCAGCTGCTGCAGTGACGACACAGAATTGGTTCTTGCTCTGTTAGCTCGCGCTCATGTGATCTCTCACTGTTAGCCACGCAGTTCGATTAACAGCAGCCGCTGTAGCTACAACAGAGAATTGGTTCGTTCTCTGTTAGCTCGCTCGATTCTGCTCTTTCGCTGTTCACTGTAAGCAACCATAACGTGACTTCGCTTGTTTCCCACAGAGGCCAGGTAGCAAATACAACAACAGCTGCGCAAGCATACATTTTTATGACAATAAATGACATGTACATTTATTTGATATTTTGACTTTTTTTCTATGCTGAAACTATCGATAATTTTCTCCAATTTCGAGTCCCCGTTATTATCTTCATCAGAACGTAGCACGAAACGTCACATCCTTCTGGACTGTCACACTCGTCAGCCAGTTATCAGTACACTGCATCTTTATAGCCCTCCTGGACGCCGCTGCACGTAACTTTTAATTGTGAAATCCCGCTGTATGCTGCTGCTGCCCGAAATGTAATTGCAGCAATTTGTGGCAGATCTACACGAACTGCGGCCAGTTGGGTCGGTTGCATGGCAAGCCATTTACGTTGCACAAATATGACAATTGGCGGCATTATTAAATTGTGCTACGTGCGCTAAATCTGCCGACATCACGGGAACAAACATCGAGAGAGCGAGAGAGAGAGAGCAACCGAAAAAGGGCACACTTCAGCAGGGGGAGGACCAAAACAGGTGAGACACGTTAGAGCACTGCTATTCCCGCTTCCTAGTTCAGCGGCAGCAGGACAGTTGCTGATAGCGCACTCAATTTGCATTCGGACGTGGAGAAATGGCCAAACCAGGTGGAATGACTGCCAACTGCCGGCCAATTACTTTTTATAACTTTGCTCCTAGCACTGGCACTTCAATCTCGCCCAGAAATTGGCTGACAGGCAGATGCGTGGCAGTCGTCGGGTGCCACAAAGGGACCTGCCCAGCCGCCCACACATTAACATAATATTACGAGTGGGCTTTAATTAAAAAAGACCAAAGGCTTGTGCCTGCCAGTCCAAATTTTTTACCCTGTGTGTGTGCCCCACAAAGTCGTTGGCCATTCCGTGTGTGAGGAGTTTCGGGCCTGAAGCATTTAAGGCCAGCCATCCGGCAGAGACAATTAAAAACCCTCTGCAGCAGCCCCTTTGCCATTTGCCATTTTATAAGCACAGATTACAGCTACACGTATACGTATACGTAACGCACACACACACACACCTACAGAGTGTGGGGGGGGGGGAGTGGCAGCAGGACACACACAACGTGGTCCGATAAGCGGGCCAGGACACCCCATCCCTCCCATCCACACATTCGAATGTCTCTGCTATCTGCTCGGTGTTGTGATTTTATGTTGGTCATAGCCGGGTCCTGGTCCTGGTCCTCGTCCCGGTCCCACCCAACCCCTCGTCCTTATTGTCTGCTTGTCTCCTTTAATGACATTGCAGTGCACTTATTTCGTTTCGACTCCTTTCATTTCTGCCCTTTTCTTGACTCTTTTTTTTCCACTGCTGTGCGGAGCTTCGTTGTGGCTGCTGCCACCTTGTACTCCAGCTTGATGGCCATGGCCGGCTGTTAAACCTTATGATG